ATTATTATTATTATTATTATTATCATTATTATCATTATTATATTATTATTATCATTATTATTATTAAGACACAACAGGGTAAAACAATTACTTCTATTGTATTTATTGTCAGATTAAATCATTTCATACAGTAAACAAAGTTGCGTTTAAAGTCTTTTTTATTCATCATTCAATTTCTGAAATGAATTACGGTAACATACATTTGTAGGCACAGGAGGAAATTCCTGCTAAGAAACCAATGAAGATAAACAATCTCCCATCTAGACAATAGGCCCATTTAATCACTACGAATTTGCTTCTTAATTAATGATATGTTTTCCTTGAAATAACATCAGTTGTACACATCCGCCTGAAGACTGTATTTGGTATTGACATTAAATGGTATACAAAAAGTATTTGTTAAAATAGTAGTATTAAATATTTCGTTAACAATTAAATTAAAAAAATTATTTTATTTTACGTATAATTACTTATTACTATAAATTTATTGACAAAGCTAAGATGACATGTACCTATATAAGACCAACCTTTCAAATTTCACGGCTGTCAAAGGCTTCTGTGCTTCGACACCGTCTCTTTTGAACGAACCATGTGGTGAAGTTCGACAAGTCCCACGTTTAAAAAAATTTAAGTCGGCCCTCTAAACGCATCTTATTCAATAATTCTTTTACATAAAGCGCTGTGACATCCTGCAGATGCCTTGTTTATCTTGATTTAACACCTGAGTAATGAGCGCTATATAAATGGTTATATTATTTATTAGATGATTACGCTGAAATTGAAAGGTTAAAGAGGATGATGACAAACTCATCACTGTTGTATTACACAGAGCCTACCATGATCAATCCTTACCATTCTCCATGCATACACTTCTCTGTAGCCTATAGAAACAAAATACAGTACATGGTTAGAATAATGAAGGGCAATATACTATACTAAGGAGTGCAGTCTGGGATTAACTAATGCACAAACTAATAATCATCATCAATTCATTTATTTAAAATAATAGTAATAATAAAAATTATTATTATTATTACTAATATTATCAATGTTATAATAATAATAATAATAATAATAATAATAATTATTATTATTATTATTATTATTATTATTATTATTATTATTATAACATTGATGATATTAGTAATAATAATAATAATAATTTTTATTATTACTATTATTTTAAATAAATGAATTGATGATGATTACGTAGATTGGATTTTCATATTGCATAATTGCCTAAGAAAAGCATCATTACAATTGATTAGTATGATCAATATTATAGATAAAATAGACCATAGAGAATATTTCACTGTAGAGTGTTCCATATCAAGAGGTCATATACTCAAGTTTTAAAACAACACACAAGAACAAAGCAGAGAAAGAAGTTTTTGGCTTACGCAACAATTAGTGATAGGAATAGTCTCCCCTAATGTGAAATCGATTCTAAATCATCACATTAGAAAAACACTAGAAAAACATCACCATTTGATGTTTGTGTTTATGTTGACACAAGCCTAGAGCGTATTATCTCGACATCAATGTAGATCAGTTAGGTAGATCACAATGATATAATGATAAGGATGTAGTGTTGACGATTGTGATTATGGTGGTGCTGACGTTGGTGACGGTGTGGCGATGAATATGATGATGATGATGAAGATCATAGCTTGTATTGTAGTGATAATAAAAGTATTAATAAAATAAATATAAATAAGATAAATATTAAGTAATATTGTTGGTGCTTACCTGTGTCGTGTGAGTCCTCATTGTAGCCAGCACTGACACATTTTGAAGCCTACGCCACACAGCCTGCATGACATGCTCGAATTATATTTCCTTCATTTAGAAACTTCCTTCAGATGGCCAGAAAAAAAAAATGCTTAGATGTTAATAATACACAATGGCAACATTCATAAACCGAATCGTACATGAATAATGCATGTAAATAGGATACTACAAATATTGAACTTATCAAATCTCTAATAAAATTAAATATATGTAGTTCTAATTTACAAATGTCTA